TCAAGGTTGGAATGCACTTACCCGCAGAAAGCAAACATGAGAATGAAAAGCAAATTCATGATGCCACCCGCAACCTCGGCGCTGCCAAGACCAGCAATCATAAGATGCGCAAACGTGCTCGAGAACAAAAAGAAGACCCAGCAGATGAGAAAAAGCGTCATGCCGCGCGAGTGAACGGAATCTGTCCATTCGGCGTTGCGATCGAGTCTCATGGGATAAAACCAGAACAGGAACGAGAAGATGGCCATGATCTAGCCGCCCAATTGTTAGTATAGAGTTTGGCGTCAGGCAAGGGCTTTGCGTTGCGTATGATGTTCACTTACAGAGTTCCAAAACATCTCGACGATGACATTAGCACCCATAAATGCCATCCAAGAATACGATTTCGCCGGCCGCTCGCGGGCTTCGTACATGGTACGCTGAGAGACAAAGACCGGCATGATCTGCTGCACCATCTGGCTGAAGATGAAGAGAAAGATGTAAACGCCAAACATCTGATTCCGGAGACCGCGTTCGGTATTGTTACCGCCGAGGAGCGTAAGCCCAATGAACAAGGCCTGTCCGCGTCAGTCAGCTTTCTTGTGGCGTACTCGACTCAATGCTCTGCAAATAGCGCTTACCGAACCGAACGTCAAGATGGACTTAGAAAAGATATACGAAGGACTGCGCCAGTACTGCTGGAAGACTCGTCTCGTCACCTGTCGTATCTGCACACCAAAACCTGCAGCGAACTCCGCGTACGTAGATGCATCATGATCTGCTGTTGTAGATGTGGCCCCTTTCTCGTCTGCATGTGATGATAACCTCGCAAGCTCGGTCTGAACGGCCTGGTATTCGTTGCTTTGCCTCCATACGGCAGGCCAGTCGATATCGGTATGCGCCTTCGGTGCTGCCCCAATCACCTCCAGCATGTACTCGGCAGGGTTGGATCCAGGTTGGTAGGCTGGAGCTCCGTGCCGGCTGAGATAATCGATGAGAATGTGTGAGTTCTTGCCAATGTCGCCGAAGTACACCGTCCGTCCACCTCTGGCAAGCAACAACAACCGATCGAACCTCTGGAATAGCGATGCCGAAGGTTGATGTATTGTACAGAGAATCGCTTGCCCATTCCTCGTCAGCTTCTCCATCAAATCACAGATTGACCACGATGTCTGACTGTCGAGACCCGATGTTGGTTCGTCCAGGAAAAGCAGCAGCTGTGGTCGGGCAGCTAGCTCTACTCCAATGGTCAAACGTTTACGTTGTTCAACGTTAAGCCCCTCGCCCAGGTCCCCAATCACAGCCTCTGCATACTCCTGCATGCCGAGGAGATCAATCACTGTGTCCACGTAGGCCAACTTCTCTTCTCGGCTATACCGCTTAGGTTGTCGTAGTAGAGCACTGAAACTCAACGCTTCTCTTACCGTCGCTGTGTGGAGGTGAAGGTCCTGCTGTGTGACGTATCCCGTCTTGCGTTGGAACGAAGAGTCTCGTAGCTGCCCGTCGACGAGCATCTCTCCACTAACAACACCCATGGTGACACGACTGGCCAGAACATCTAAAAGGCTCGTCTTACCAGCTCCCGAAACTCCCTGTGATGATACGTATGTTAGCCATGTCTGGCAGCCAATCAGGAATAAGGCAGGAACCCACCATCAGTGCTGTCAACGTCCCGGGCTTCACCCAGCCGTCACAGTGATCAAGGATCCTGCGGGCCTCGCCTTTGACTTGCACATCGTAGCAGACGTCGTTCCAATGAAACACAGACGTTTGCTTCGCGAGGTCTGAGTTATCGCTGTCGTCATCTACCTGTATCGTTGGCTGCGACGGGTTTCCTCCCAATGTCTCGATATCATCATGACCTTTCTTGGCACTCTTCAGCGCCCTACGCTTGAAAAGCAACACTTCGCCCTTGGATCTCTCAGATGAAACCAGCTCGACGGCGACAAGATAAAGAGACATGAAGAAGATGGTGATGGCAACCAAGATGCCAAAATTTCTCCAGCGATGACCGGCCAGGAACCCATAGACGACTCGAAGGTGCTCTTCACCATTTACGGAATTGGAACCCGGCATCGCTCCACCAATATCACAGACACGTTCATCCAATGTAGCAGTCGCGTAACCGGGTCCTGTCGGGACAAATTGCGAGCAGGTGAAATTGCGTCCAACGAATTCGTTTAGTGCGAGACCTTCTTGCGCGTAGAAGACGGGGTTGATCCAGCGAATCCATCCAATCCAGTCGCTAAGGTATGACTGAGGCATAGCAAAGCCGCTGAACAGCATCAGTGCCAGCAGGATGATAGCTGAGGGCGCCAGAGCTTGCGAGGTCGTCTTGGTAACGGAGCCGAGGAATCGAAAGATCATGGACATGGAGACTGTGATAGTGAAAGAGAACAATAGGAAGAAGAAAAAAGGCCCGGCTGACTCGCGCCGTAAATTCGTCATAAAATAGATTGGCACATTGATGAACAGCGCGTTGATCATCTTGTACGGTAAGTCGACGAGCATTGCGGCAACGGCCTCAGCACTTGGATGATAGAGTGCGTATCTGGCATGCTTCTCGATGATCTTTCTCTTTCCATAGAGCGTGAGAATCTCCATAATGCTACCCATAGCATTGATGAGAATGGTGTAGAATATCAGAAGATTACGGTTGTAGAGACTGGAAGAGTTTGGTGCCAAGTTGTAGAAGATGCTTGAGATAATGAGAGATTCGAAGAAATTGGTCGTCAACATTGTGATGGTCATCCACGGCTCGCTAATCAGTAGTTTGAAGCTGCGCCACAGATTGAGGCTGATTTGCTGCACGTAGGACAACGTATATGGTGACGAAGATCGCTGCGCTTTGGACTGATGCGCTCGTCGAGTGGCCGAAAACTTCTTGTGCGTATCTCCGCCAAAAGGGTACTGCTGCTCGAACGAATCGATCTCCTCCAACAGGTTTCGGCGGTGCTGGCTATCTTTCCAAGCTTGAGCAAACTCTTCAGGACTCCGCGGCGGTGTTCGGCCTTTCCACTCGGGTTGCACAATTCTCTCGGAAGAGCTTGTCATTGAAGTCAGGAAGTCGGCAGTGGTCTTCTGCTCCGGACACAGGAAACCAAGATTTTCGAAATAGGCTTTCGCATCGGTGGATTTCCCGAAGAAGATCTGGCGGCCTTCGTAAAGGACGATGACTTTGTCAAAAAGCTGTCCATATGATGAGTAACGAAACATCCCAGCGGCGAAAATAAGCATTTAGCGATAAAAGCAAGAATGGCAGAGCAGGGGAACAAGAGATAAAACTTACTTCATAGGCTTCCTGGGGTGCTTGGTAAATGGCCACAGAGGAGCTGCAACCGAAAACGTCTGCCTGCATGCGGAGGGTTCGACAGAACTCGATTGCATTGGCAGAATCGAGACCTCGCGTGCTATTGTCCCAGCATTGAAGAGGAGAATAGCTCAAGACGGCCTCCGCGATACTGACCCTCTTCCGCTCGCCTCCGCTAACCCCTACGAAGATTTAGTCTAGGTTGCCTTAGAGTTATCAAAGACGCGAGCTCCTCACCACGGACAAAGTCGTCTCCAACCCGCGTTTCCTTCGTGTGTGAGATACCCAAAAGTGCCATGACGACGTCACGAAGGTGCTCCGCGTACTGGTGCTCGGAGATTCCATGCGGAAGTCCCATATTCTGGGGGCACCGTGCGCGAGCTGCAAAGTAGAGGGTTTCCCCGACAGTTAGGTAGGGAAAGTGATGGTCGAATTCTGCAGTGTAGATTGCTTCTCCTTTGAACGATGTTTTCATCTCTTTCGGGGAGATGCCTTGATAGTTAATGGTTGCTCCATCAGCGATATAGAAGCCGTGGGTCTCGCCAGCGATAGTCTTGAGCAACGTTGTACAGCCAGAGCCGGGTGGACCAAGCACCGCAAGCATCTCTCCACTTTGAATGACGCCTTCCAAGTCGTGCAAAATGTCGATGCGCTGCTTCTTTCCTGAGGACGATAACCAGGAAATTAAGGCGGCAGCCTCCAAAAAGAAGTTGCCAACAGTCTTCTGATAGTCCGTAGTCGTTCCCAAGCCATAGACTTGCAAATCCTTAAAAGCAAGACCCACCGTATTGGGTGCATTTCCGAGAAGAGCATTGGTCTGGAGCCTATAGAAAGCTGCGGCCCATCTTCGAGCGTCGAATTTGTCGCTCTTTGGATCGAGTGTGGCGTCGGATGGCTCAGGAAATAGGTTATGACCTCCTCCATGAGACGCCGAGGTTAGGCGCCTAGCCAAGTCATGGACTTCTTCTTCAGCTTCTTCGGCATCTATTAGGATCGGGACGCTTCCGATGCCGTCGAATGTGGATGCATGGGGTTCATTCGCATGAGGACCGGGGTCCAAGATCGCGGGTGCCGGCATTTTGCAACTATTCTCGGTGCCGGTGGGAGGCAGACTTTGGGACCACTCGCGTAAGCTCTACACCGTAAGACTTATGGTTGGGAGATATAATTCGGGCTGAATCTTAGTCAGAGTAGATGTGTAGGAAAGATGGAAAAGTGGACCGTGAAGTGAATCTCTACCATTGACATCCCCAAGTTAAACCATCAAGGAGGTGCCCGGGTCTTTGTATCGTCGTCGACATTGAACAAGTTCTCTTGTCTCGTGGAAAGAAGAATAGAGAGAGTTTCCATGACTGTGTTTGAAATTCGAATTGAGTTCCATCCGCAATTGTGTGTTGGTGGAGAAGATGCAGGTTGTGTTCTCGGAAAGTGCGAAATGCCTTTGGACGTCGTCGATCCGGAAGGCGTTCCGGCGAACCGACCACGGCCAGGAAGGAGCGTGCTGAAGACGGTGCCGCACTTTCGGAAAATGCGAAAGACCGATTAGGTGGGTCTGGAGGGCCCATCTTCCACTCAGAGACGAGAACCGCGGCACGTCACAGCTGCCAAGGATGGGAAGAGCGCCGTAGGCGGTCCCAATTGGGGCAAGGCCAATTCGACGAAGCCAAGCTCGTGGCAGTCCGCGGTCACTGTGTCGTTTCTTCCGAGAAACATGTCCGAACATGCGCCAAGTTCCACACCGTTCATGACTCTGAAGTGAGATCGTGTGTGGAGAACCCTACCTAAGCTACACTGGCTTGCAGTTTTGAGGCCCGTAAGGCGCTGGCGCGTGTCATCCGGTTTCCCCCCCATCTTCGACAACAAAAGCTGATCGGTGCGTCCGTATGCACTGAGACCCTTGGATACTCCGAGCCAGTTGCGGCTCTGTCATTTGTATTCCCTTATCCAAAGCCCATCTGGAATCACAGCCTCGGCATTCCACGCGCTGTAGATTCGGGACCTTGGTGCCCATGGAGCGGCAAGAAGTTGTGGTTTTGAACGGCCTTTCGGTAAGCCCGCATTTTCCATCAAATTCAATTCGAGTATCCCAAGCCCTGCCCGGTTCAAGGTCCTCATCAGGCGATTCTTTGAAGCGTACACCCTAGCATAGCTGGGAGCTCTTATGGGTCTGATGGCATGAAACTTACATTTCATTGGTAGTGTACGAATTGTCGCAGCAAAAAGGTACGTTGTCCTGTCAGTCCGCTTGCAACTTGTGCCATGCTTATACCCTCCCAGCTTAGATGTAGTCGTGACACACCCATTTGTGAGCGATGTAGTACATTAGACCTGTCATGCCAGTACCCTCAGAGAAGGCCTAGGAAACGTACCAAGAGAGAGGCCGATCACCCAAGGTGAGCCTAACTTCAAGCTATCATCAAATTCAGGCCATTTCAGAAAAGCACATGACTGATACCCCAACCCCCAGGAGCACTGACAATGCTACTCTGTCACTCATCCTTGACCGTTTAGAACGTATTGAGAATAATCGTACAGCGTCAAGTGCCAACCCTACCGCTTCAGGATCATATCATCGACAAGCTTCTGACGAGTCTGGCTCCCCAGAGCCCTACTCACCCCGAGCCCGGGATCGATCGAGCCACTCGGCTTCACCTCTAAGTCCACCATCTAGGGCCGATGCTAGGAACACACCCTATCACGAGCGGGACATATTACCATCTCTTAGGCCCCATGGATCTGAAGGCTCGCGCCATCCCGCTGTGCTAGACGTTGCTGCAACTCTTGGTGACACGTTCGATCGTGTGCGAGAGCAAAGACTTCGACGTACCATGGGTCACAACACCATGGCAACCGAGGGTATTGACATTTCTCTCGAGAAGGCACGAACCTGGATTCACAGTAAGAATCATACGAACTCAGTGCCTCCGCGACACTGACAGTCATGTTAGATTACTTCACCTACAGTCCCACTGAGACATTTCTCAGCCTCGTGGATAGGAAAACTGTCGAATTAATACCAGATATGCTCTTGATGAGGCATGTCACCATCGACCCCTGCATCCTCATCATTTACTATGTCATTCTGTGGCGGGGATGCTACATCCTGAACACGAGGTCATACCACAGCCCAGACGGCAGATACGCGCGGAAGCTCTACCTGTGCTGTCTTAGGACTATGCCATGCTGGCAGAAGGAAGCCACCGGTTCGATCACTGATTTTATTGCTGCTATCTTCATGGTATGCCCCTCTATCACCTCCTTGTACTCGTCTTACGTGCCACGGGTACCGTCACTAAGCAGATCTACAGACCGGCATTGCAGCAGAGTCTTATGACTTCGAAATGAGTCTAGAACTGCACCAATTGGCTTGCGAGTACGCCAAAGGACTCCAGATGCACAGTCTCGACAGTAATGACTACTTTGTGGCCACCGGTTGTCCCAGCACTGACGAAGACCGCAAGGGCATGTGGGAGCTCATTCAAACGGACCTCTTCTACCACTTGATCTATAACAAGCCGGCGACTCTATATCCAAGCCTCGATAAGTGGCAGGTAAATTTACCATGGCTATCACTCGACTTACCCCCGGAGGAAGGTGCTCAGGTTTCGACGATATCATTTCTCTTTCGCAGCCGACTCGCGTTCATTCTGATCCGCTTCTTCCAAACGCTTGAAGGACTCGAGAACGAGTCAGAAGCTGTCGCGGCCATCGAGCCTCTGTGCCACGAGATAGAAGTACTATTTGATGAATGGGGAATCGTAAGTCAACCTCACAACCTGCAGCACTGCTCTATCCGATGGGGTTCGAGTCTATTAACACCGCTACAGGAAGACTGGATCGGACGATCAGGCGACAACCACATGGATCTGTGGATGTTGGCAGGCCTGGTTCTAACCGGCTACACCTCCATCATTTTTATGCTGCGGAAAGCTACTCTCCTAAACTCAAACTGCCCTGTACCAGTCTGCACCGACAACAACGTGCCCAGGACGGACTTCTCAACCCGAGCCTCGCGTCGAATCCTCAACCTGACGTATAATATGCTCCACATCTGGAAGTTCCCCGCGGCGGAGGCAATCTCGTACATCCTTGGCGCCTACCGAGCGCACACCGCCTATGCCCATCTGGCGAGCAACGCCATGAATGCCCCCAGCCCCGGCGACGTGATTGAGGATCTGCATTTGCTGGACCGCGTCGCCCAAGGTATTGAGACTGCGACACAGCAAGAAAGCGATTTTCTTCCGTTGGCACGGGAGATGAAGAGGATCAATGCTCAAGTCAAGGAAAGGGTCAATGGCACTACGAGTGCACGGAATGCTTGATTCCATGTCTAAAAGTTATCGCAACACCTTAACCAACTTGGCGATTCAGATATTAGACACGTTCAGCTTGGCTGTACCACAACATTGGACTTCTGTACATTATCTACACAGCCCCTTCAGCTTTCGAGCAATTCGTCGGTTTAGGCTGTGGCCTTGTGATGATTGGCCCATGTAGCTTATCGCACCTTCGCTGACTGCAGGTCAGAACAACCTCTTCAGTGGCTAGTTTAATTCTTCGCCATCAAACCTTTCTCACCGGTCTACTCAAACGGGAAGACTGTAAGAGGGTGTCATGCAGAATATGAAGTCATGTGCTGTCGACGGCAGCTCGCGTGTAATCTGCCCGCCACTGAACGAGACCATCATCACAGCCTCGTCTTTGAAGCCTTCATAGATATTGTCCCGCCGTCTCCTCTAATCTCTCGTCTGATCCCCGTCCCTATGCAGTAGAACCTATCCTCAGGAGATTCTCTTCTCACACAGGACAGAATGACTAGCATAGCCAGCACTAACACCATGACCCGTGCCACCGATCAAGCGGCTTCTTTGAGTCCAAGGACTTCAGCAAACCTTTCATCCAACACTGCATACAGCGTTTCATTGGCAGACAGCGAAGATGAAGAACCTCCTGTACCCGTCGAAACTCGCAGTGCAAACAATACCACAGGGCCAGAACATGTCGAAATGCTTCCAGCAGCAGAGAAGGGTAGCAGCAAAGTAATACTAAAGGGCCGTCGGAGATGCTCGGGTAGAGTCGTCTGGCAGATGATAGCTTTCTACGTACTAGGTATGGGTGGCCTTTCTACCTGAATAAGCGGCGCAACCACAGCTACTTCAATGCCGACAAGTCTCCGGTCTACCAGCTTTGGGATTTATGGCCACTCACATGGCCTTCTTCATCCTTTTGGACGGTCAGCCTGTTGCAACGTCTGGCTTCAGTCAGAACTTACAGGCTGCTTTAGCTAACTTTCTTGCCATCGCCGTCGAGATTTGTCTTCTCAGTGGCATCGCAGTAGCTTACGACCAGACTCTGTGGCGACTCCTCCGTCGCAAAGCACTCAGAGCATACACAATCGATAAGCTTGTAACCCTGGTTCTGAGTCCGTGGAACTTGTTCCGGTCGGAGCTTTTGACTAGCGCACCCGAGCTCTGGTTGATCGCGTTTCTCTGCTTCATGATCCCAGTTACTGTCGTCTTCCCGCCTGGTGCGCTGACAGTTGAGTTTGAAAATGCGGTGTTGCCGGTCACTTTGACGAATGTGCCGACACTGGATATCAGCGACTGGGGAAACGGGAGTGCCAGAGACTTTATGCGGCTCTCGTTGATGGAGCCTGATAAGGATCTTGTCTACGTGTTAGTATATAATCCACCATGACCAAATCTTTACTAGCTGATTGGATCTATGATACTTTAGAGATGAGATACGACCAAACTTGAGACAAACTGCCTCCCTTGTCATCAGTCTTGGCGAGCCGGTACATTTTGCTTCGCCTTGCACTGGTCCTTGTGCCTACAACTTGGTCTTTGATGGACCGAAGTTCGATTGCAATCAACCGAAGCCAACAAAGCAGAAACACCCACCCCTAAATCCTTGCACTCGAGACGTGTTCTACACTGAAAACGGGGCATACTCGGACCAGTCCTTCGTGTACAACAACACTCTTGTCATAACTTGGGATACAATAAAGGACGGGCAGTGCATTCCGGATGGTCGCAGGACAATGGATTGCACAATGAAGCTTGCTACCTACAACTTTACTATTTCTAACTCTCAAAATGGCACCCGCGAGATTCAGACTGAGGTCCTCAAAACTTCACCGATATGGACGGACGAAGCACCGGTTCAGAAAGAATTTGCAACGTACTTTTTCGATTACAGATACGAAACAGCTTATGACTCGCCCATAAATCAGCAAGAGCTCACGAGAAACTTCACACGTGCCCAAGCATTTGCTATCAGGAAAGCTGCCGTAGATGCCATGGTCGGCGGTGTATTTCTATGTAAGTGAGGACGCGACCAAATCAGTCTACCTGTTCCTAATGCGTCAAAGACCGAGATGAAAGATATGGTGTCGAACTACCATGGATTAAGCCCGGACCTGGCTCCCTTGCCGCAGGAAGCCCTTACATTGGACTCGAGGATAAGTTCAACCCGACACTTGATATCAGCCCCCAATCGATCGAGAGATATCTACAGGATGTCGTGATCTCCACCGTGTCGTTAAATCAAATGTCGGCTGGGCCTCTATGGGTCAACAGTCAGCCTGTTGAGGCACTCGCCGGTGCAAACATCTACAGCTTCAGCGAGCCGTGGCAATTCTATGCCCCGTATGTTTCGTGCCTGGTAGTCACGCTGACAGTGTACATCCTTGGGTGGAGGGCATTACACCGAAACGGATGTTCGGCTGGAAATAGTTTCCTTCAGTTCGTGGTAACGACCAGCACGAGCAGCAGGCTACATGAACTTGGGAAACCTTGCAGTATCGGGGGAAGCGAGATTTTCTCGAAAGAGTTGAAAGATGTTAAGCTCCGTTTCGGCATTAAGCGGACGACGAGTGATGTAGAATCAGGTGATGGGGATGAACGGGTGGTTGTCCTCGGGACTGAGTCTGAGATTGAGTCGCTTCGGGCTCGACATCTCAGACCTCACCGCGACGTAAGCGCTTTTCCCACATGATCAGGTTGGAGTTCACTCGCGAGATAGTATTTGCTCTATACTTTAGCTCGGGTGGGCCTCCGACGTCAAGACACCAAGAACCTTATTCATTGGATGATCCCATCACAACTCACGACAGACGAGCTTATCAACATTCACTGTTCTTTCGGACATGTTGCGGAAAGCCAAATCTGTGATAGTGGGATAACTCAGTCACCTGTGTGATGCTCTGTAATGTCGCATTCCCGAACTTCCAATTTGACTTCCAGTATCCATTTCTTAAACCTCCAGTCGCAGAGCCTGTTTTCAGTTTGTTGAGGTATCTTTCATCATACCCCATGACCAAGCATCTCTGGTGAATCTATCGATCTCGGCAAGGGCAAACCCATATCGAATCTTTGAACCGCAGGGCGCGCCTTAGACCAATATCCAGCGATATTACAGCGATATGAATCTTGTATATACATAAGGTACTTTGCATACCAATGGAATTTAGACGTAACTGCGACTCCTATACCGTCCTGAGTAGAGATCCTGGTTCCAGGTTGCTGCCGTTCGGCAACTGATCAGGGAACTACTTTCTTCTAACAAAAGACCGCCAACGCAAACATATGACGAACAATAGTACCCAAATTCTCACCGATTAGCACGAGCCTCCTGTCTTAAATCTGTCAACATATCATCACATGCCAGAACGTAGGTTCGTCGCAAATTGCGTCATCTGCATGTATATTCATACCTTGCAGCAAACTCGGGATTGGGTATTGGTTCATCGGTTGCAAGAACACATCGGCTATAGCCAATGAAATATGTGTACCGCTGCAGATAACAATTTGTTTTCGACAGATAAGATGGGTGTGATTAATTTTACCTCGTGACTGCATAATCAGGTCCGCTCCCGAAACTGAACTCTCTTACAAGTCTAGACAAATCTATAGATTCGGCGTCCGCTAGCCATTTCAGTTGAGGCCTACAATGCCACAGCTCGCATGTAAACGCATGTGAAGACTGCTCAGAAAGCAATTGCACATGTTGGAAACCATGGAAATATTTATGCAGTGAGGATGCACCTATCTTTCCTCTGTTTGATTCCAACTTCATTTCCATCGACTTGAAAGTGTCTATCTGCCTGAGCCTCTCACTACAAATTTCCACATTTCCACAACCATTGTTAGAACAAAGAAAATGGCCGTCTCTAGCCTGAACAAACCCGCGGCTCCATCCCTTGGACTGCGATCTCAGAGATCTACCCATCGCCTCAACCAGATCGAAAAACTACGTGCCAATGGTATTGGCGACCTGATTGACTTGCCTCAACTTGTCGTCTGTGGCGACCAGTCCGCAGGCAAAAGTTCCGTGCTAGAGGGCATTACTGGCATGCCTTTCCCTCGTCAAGAAGGTCTCTGTACCCGATTTCCCACGGAGATTGTTCTACGGCACTCTAATGAGCCATTCATGGCGAAGGCCACTATTCGGCCTCACTCTTCTCGCCCGCCTGGTATTGCACAGACTCTCAGTAACTATGTGCGCGAGATGGAGGAAGACCTCTCCGACCTTCCCGCCGCCATTGAGGAGGTCTCCAAGCTTATGGAGATACGCGGCTTTACCGACTCTCCTGATGATGCTGCGTTTGCATCTGATGCTCTGCGCATTGAGATTTCGGGCCCTACAGGATTGCAACTGAGCATTGTTGACCTCCCTGGCCTGATTTCGGTCTCCAGCGAAGAACAGTCCCAAGCCGATGTGGAAGCCGTCCATGCTATGGTTCGGAGCTATCTCAAGAGCACCCGGACCATCATCCTCGCTGTGGTTCAGGCCAGCAACGACTTTGCCAATCAAGGCATAATCAAGATCGCCCGCGAGTATGACCCAGATGGACAGCGGACTGTCGGCATAATCACCAAGCCCGATCTCATCAATGCTGGAGCTGAGGCCAAGCTCGCCAACATCGCCAAGAACAAGGACGCTATTAAGCTCAAGCTCGGCTTCTTCCTTCTCAAAAACCCCAGTCCATCCGAGATGAAGACCGGCAGTGGCAACAACAAGCGCGCAGAACGGGAGATGAACTTCTTCTCTTCTCCAGCCTGGAAGGCTCAGAATCTCGACATGAGCCGGGTCGGCATTGAGAGCCTTAAAGTTTTCTTGCAAGAGCTTTTGGATGAGCACCTTGAGGGGGAGCTGCCCAAACTGAAGGAGGAAATCAGACGCAAACTTGACTTGTTTGAAAAGGATCTCGAAGACATGGGACCTGAACGACGGTCTCTCAGCGATATTCGATCTTTTATGACCAACCTTAGTATGCGCTACTTTCAGCTAGCTCAGGCGGCTCTAGACGGGAACTATC